TATATTACCCGAATATAAAAAGCGGGGAAGGGGATGGGGATGGTTCTAACTGCGTCGGATTCCAGTAGTGAAATCGAATCTTAAAATATAGATATGTGGGTTTGGGTTTTCTTACTTTGATCTCTCAAGAACGAACCCCGAAATCAAATAGGAAATCAAATATGTGGAAAAACACAAGGAGCTCGACTAGATATTATTAAAATTTATAATTCTACAAAATTATGAAGAGGCAGGATAACTTGTGATATCTACGAATCAAAAATCAAGCCTATTCAGTTATTCATAAACTGGTTAGTGGTTACAAGATTTCCAAAAAAAAATAAAAAAAATAATTAATAACATCCATATAGATCGAAAAATGTGTAATACAAATGAGAAAGAAATAAACAAAAACCATCTGAAAATTCTTTTCACTAAAACAACATGTACATCCACAAATCTCTACCTAATATATATTAATTAATGCAATTATACAAAAGTCAAAGTAATTATGTCGAATTTTCTATAGGCACAATCAATGTCAATCTTTATATTGCAAGATACATAACTTCAAGCCATATGTAAACCTAAGAATTAACAAAACCAAAGAAAAAAACAAAACAAAAGATGTTGTGTGCCCTTTTATGCACACCAATTATTAACGAAGTTTGTTGGCATTTACAATCCAAATCGTACTGTTTACAAGGGTCACCCCCCTTACAACATTTATTACCAACCAATCAATCCGTTAAATAAAAAAAAGAATAAAATAGACAATTTTTTTTTGTTGATATTCCACACAATACACTACTACACAAGATACATGCTTGCATTGGAATGAATCACACATTTAATACATGACACTTGCATAGATTATGTTAAATTAAATGATTTGTTAAATTCATTTAAAGTGTGATGTGTTTAAAATCCATGTAGCTCACAAAACAATTTTTGTTATTTATACTGGTATTCATGTTATTCATACGTATTTTGTTTATCCCATGTTTATGAGGTTCAGGTGCAAAGAGATACAAGATGTTAGTCATTATAACTGGACTTTTAGAAAAATGAACATAGTTTTTTTTGTTATGCAACCATGTGTATTACTATGGTCCTGTGTTGTATAAAGTTTTCAACCCTACTGTTGGTTTAAATACTTCGAAACAATATTTTTTATGGGACCATTTTTGTGAAAATATGACTATAATTCATATAATATTTTAAAACCACAATATTCTAAAAGTATAAAGAATGGGGTTTTACACCTGCGGTCTAGTTGGCATAAGACGTGTATCAAAATCCTTATCTTTGAGTAATCTGTAAGAGAAGAGAGCCATTCCTCAATTGGTTTTTTAATTTCAAGAGCTATAAAGGTTGGTCAATTTATAAGAAAATAGGTTGTGGAAGCAACCTCAACCTAAAATCGATTTTTCGGGTTTGCATTAGACAAGATGTAATGGGCGTTGGAAATAATGATCTTGTTTATTCCCTCGGATACACGGTTCTGTTGAGGAGCATGTGTAATGTAGTGTCTAATAATGCTTCATTATTGTAGTAGGATTCGAATTCATTTGAACATAATTGCATTCTATTATCTATGTATATATTCTTTACCTTATTCCTAACTTTCCCTTTTACCATAGTTTTCCATTTTTTAAATGCCAAGAATGCATCTGATTTATGTTGCAAGTAATGTGGACATGTTTTCTTAAGTGATCACCATGTGTAGCTAGCACCTCTAATGGATTTTTTGTAAGATGGACCCCATGATATAAGTAAACATAATAGATGATGCCTTTGGTGGTGTGAAACGAAGTGTTGAAATTCACCATCTTATGTTTAACAACTAGACAATGCTCAAAGAATTGTAGTTTCCTTTTGTTATAACCTTCAGACAGATCATATCTGTTTAACTCGGTTAAACCAAGTTCACTCATGACAAAGTCCACAATGCCAAATCTTGACATCATATGGTTTAATAGAAGTGGCCGAACAAGTAGTGATAAGACGACCTTTGATTTTCAAAATTTTGGGGGTGGTAAGTATACACGTAATTGTCAAAATTACATTTATAACATGAGTACTTGTCATCAAAATTATAAGTGTGACAGAACCTGTGATTATAGTACTTAAGACATAGTAAAGACCAGTTCTCGAATTAGCCCTTATCAGAACTAGAGAACCTTTTGTTGTACTCAATAAATTGTCTTTGTCGTGTGAATATTTATATTAGTTTTCATTAGAGGCACTTAAAAAGATAATTTTTTGTTCATCTTTGGAATGTAATGAACATTAACTAGTATTATAAATGTGACATCAAACATCTAAGCATTTAGATAGTGCCAATACTTACAATAGACTCATTGAAACTAAGAACTAAACTTAAAATATGAATTTGTTCGAAGGTGGTAAACCGTCCTTTAGTGTTGCAGAAATCGGCATTGGCGGTTGATTAATTGGCGATTAACTGTTTGATAGTCTTGAACCGATTACGATTACAGTGCTTAGCAGAAATTGGTCAAAATTGATCAAACTCGGACTTGATGGTCCTCGGCGGTCATAAGCGGAAAATATTTAACAAATTCAATTTTTTTAATTTTTAAATATTGCACCAAAATTTTCAAATTTTAAAATATTATACTAAAATTTTCAAAATTCAAAATTTTTAATTTTTTAATTTCAAATACTTATTTTTTAGGATATATTAATTTTTTAAATAATTTTAATTAGTAATTTATGATTCCCGATTAATCAGTGCATAGTCCGATTAATCGCTTAATATCAGTCAACCGCTGAACAATTTCCACATCCTTGTTTTATATGAACACATATTATAGGTACAACTGGAATCAAGAACCCTTTAGTCATTAATATTGACATATCTTACAACGATTACAAAAAACTCTCATTCGGTTCTATTGTCACGGGTTTGTTTACCATTTTGTTTTATCTTTCTTTATTATATATTATTAGTATGTAACGTTGAGATATCTTATGCCTATTTTTCTTGAAAGACATTTTCAAGTCTTGAGCTTGCCTTTGGATTTCGATATATCCTTTTTCCTAAAAACCATTATTTGAGTTTTTCTCCTTTAATCTGCCACAAACTACTAAACCCTTAGACTTTTGAGTTGCTTGAGCCATCAATAGACACCATTTGCTACATTTTTTCCTTGAAATGTAGGGCTTTATAAACTTCATCAACGGTATCATTGTTGTGAAGTATTGTATCTATTAGATTGGAATAAGAAGGTAGCATTAAACTTAATTTAATAAAACCCAAATCTTATAGAAATTGTTTGAATGAGAACTTAACTTTTATTGATCTTTTTTAGGGTTTTAAATACAATAATTTTGAAGCTAACAAAACATAAAGATAAGAATCCTAGCAACAGAAACTAAAGATAAAGATACAAATTCAAATAAGATTTTAATTTCGTTACTCCCCTCAAGCTAGAGCATGTAAGTTTCGAATGCCCAGCTTGCTCATCAACATTCGTCGTCTTTCTGCTCCCAAGGCTTTAGTGAACAAATTAACCACTTAAAGTTTAGTGTCTACTTAAACTGGTAAAATCTCATTAGTTTCAACATGTTCACGTACAAAATAATAGTCCATTTCGACATGTTTCATGCGTTCATGGAAAATCGGGTTATTAGCTATTTGTCTAGCCGCTTGATTGTCACAAAAGAGTGCAGTGGTGTTCATTTGAGGCGCTTGTAAGACCACTAATAACCATCGAACCCATAGCATCTCACTAACGGTAATTGCCATGGCTTGATACTCTACTTCAGCTGAGGAGCGCGAGACCATCGTTTGTTTCTTTGTTTTCCAAGAGATTGGTGCTCCGCCCAAGACAAGTAAATACCTAGTTCTTGACCGCCTCATGTATGCACAACCAAGCCAATCAGAGTCACAATATGACATAAGGTTTAGCCCTCTTTCTCGAGGCAGCAGTATGCCTTGTCCATGAGTATTTTTGAGGTAGCAAAGAACACATATTGCAGCATTCATATGTGTTTGCCTTGGATCGGCCACAAACTGACTAAGCATATTAACAACATATGCAATGTCAGGTCGTGTTGCTTGAGGACAGAGGAAGCACCCAATCAATCGATGATATTGACTTGCTTCTACTTGTGGACTTTCTGTTCCTTGATTAAGTTGGAGGTTTTGCTCCATGGGAAAGGAACTGGGCCTGTATCCTTCCATCCTACAATCACCTAGGATGTTGAGGGTATATTTTCATTGGCTGAGCACAATACCTTCAGTTGTTTTGGCCACCTCAATGCCCAAAAAATATTTTAGGGGACCCATATCTTTAATATTGAAACGTCGATGAAGTTTAAGTTTTGTGGCTTGTATTTTGGCGCAATTGTTACTGGCTATGATGACGTCATCGGCGTAGATTTTTGGTATCAGTTATGTGATGCTTGGAGAAGTCCATATAGGGACTTTCGTAACCTACATACCCCGTTATCACCTTCCTTTGCAAAACCTTCAGGGACCTTCATGTAAACTTCTTCTTTGCAAATCACCATGCAAGAAAGCATTGTTCACATCTAGCTATTTTACAATCCCATCTTTCTTGGCCGTGATGTCTAGTAATGTTCTGACAGTGATAAGCTTAGCAACAGGGACAAAAAGTGTCATGAAAATCAATACCCTCTGTTTGAGTATACTCTTTCACCACTAATTTGGCTTTGTATCGTTCCCTTCACCATTTGGTTTATACTTAACCTTATATACCCATTTAGATCCAACAGCTTTCTTACCAGGAGGTAGATGTTCAAGAGTCCAAGTCCCATTAGTTTCTAAAGCTTTAATTTCCTTCTTCATCGCCTCTCTCCACTTGACATCTTTTGCTGCTTCGTGGTTCTATGTGAGAACTAATGGAAGACAGTAATGCTTTGTGGCTGTCAAAAAACTTGTCATAAGAAAAATAGTTACCTAATGAGTGTTCCGTGGATGAAGCTTGATCAGGTGTATGAAGTGTATTATTGATCGAAGGTGGTAGATCAACTTAACAGACCTCATATCTTTTTGGTAGTATCTTTGGTCTGGTTCTTTGCTGAACGAATGTGTCTTGTTGTTCATCACTATCGTGAGGATTGACTGTAGTGTCATAATTATCCATGCTTTCCGATGGAAGTGTTTGATAAGCTTCTTTATGCTCAGTTGCAATAGTAGCAGGTACGTCTACTACATGATGTAGCTGTGGTGCAACACTCAACTCTGGGTCATCATATATAGTAGCATCAAATTCAAAAGGATCTTGATCATTGGTTGCGTCAGACTTGTGCTTTATGTTGGAATAAGGGTAGTTTTCTTCAAAAAAAAACTTGATATCTCTAGAGACAACAATTCTCTTGGCTTCTAAGTCATACACACAATATCATTTTTGAACCTGAGGATATCCCATGAAAACTGAAGAATCAATGAATCGAGTATGATATTAATCAGAGTTAATATTGAAGAAAGAATGAGTAATTAAACACAAGATGTAAATAAGATTTCGCTCCAGCTCTATTACACTTGTGTGTTTACAGAGAAAAAGAAACAAGGCTGTCAAAGTTGTCTAACTCTAGTAAATGATCTTATTTATACGATACATAAAGCATACAAAAAATATACTAAGGTATTATCAGTTAATCTTCGTATAAAAGCGCCCTAGTAAAATAGATTACAATTCATTCGAAGAGTACAAAGCATGCTTCGACTAATTACAACAACACAACCCTTACAATCTCCCCCTTTGTAATCATAGTTGAAGACTTCAATTCGTAAGCAGTTGGATGGAATACATCATCACTCTTCGTATCTCAGTATACCAGGAAATTATCTTCTTAAGCTCCTTCTTATCTCCTTCATTATTCTTCTTACAATGATTCATACGAACAATTAAGTTCGTATATTGAGAAGTTGAGTACCTTTCCACCTCACCAGCCTGGAACAAAAATCGTTTCAATTTTCTAGACTTGTCCTTCCCTAAGAAGACTAACCCAAAGGGCTTCAAGAAAATTTCACCATCAGCATACTTTTTTAAATTTGCTTGAGTCTTTGAAGGAGCCATTGGAAATGTTATTTCTAATCCTTTTGTTGTAGCTAGCTCCACATCTATTAATGCTAAGCATATAAAATAATTTTCAATGAAGATCTTGATGTGAGTAACTCCAAGCTTGAACTCATCCAGATTAGTATTCTGAAGATAAGAGAAAGATCTTTCCTTCAACAGCAATGCAACTTGTATAAGGTCATACAAGTTCATTAATGGAAAATCAGCAATCGTAAAATCACAAACATTCCCCTTCGCCCTGCTACCACATACTTCATATTTTGGACTATGTTTTCAAAAACAACATCCTTCTTTATGTTGATCACTTTCCTTATCTTTATTAGTGACCACACCTCTTCAGAAGGTTTAGCAAGGACTGCATGAAATCTGATCTTCATATGTGTTCCTTCATCCTTTTCTTTGAATATGCTTTCGGATTTGAACTGGTTCATGATGAACATCATATCATTGATTAGAAAGTCCAATTGGCTTGCATCAGTATTCGTAACTATGTAGCTCTGTTTTGGCTTCTTTTCAAATGAATACATATAATTGAATGCAACCTTGGCTTTAATTGTTTTGTAGTTATAATGCTTTGATGGATCACCTTTGTTCATGCCTGGAGGATCACTTGCTCTTTATGTCATTATACTTTGTACTAATCTCATCCTCTCCAGTTCAGCCTCAACCTCAGCCTTCTTTTCTTCCTTTGACTTTTCTATCAAAATAGTTTTTTCTCTTACCTTCGAAGCTGAATCTTCTATTACTTCTTTCATTTTTGAATCACTCCCACCAACATTAGTAGATTTACCAATCACAATTCCTTTTGAAAATAGTCTTGTAATTGACACAGTTGTTACTACTGTCGAAGTAATCGAACCAGCAGTTGCTATGATTGGTTTTGTAGTTGGAATCTTCAAAGAAAATACCTTTCCCACCACCTTCACATGATCACCACCAGCCTTCAAATCTTCACCTTTCCTTTCTCCCCCTTGCACCCCTGTAAAAACAGGCAGGGCATCTGTTGTTGGAAGAAGGTTGGATATGCGAGAAAGAGGAGCCAACTATTGGAGAGGTATTTCTTCAAATTTAGAAAAAAATTGGAACAGAACATCCAAAGATAGTTGAGAAGATGAAACTGGCTTTGTAGATACTGCTTTAAGATCCTTTAACAAAGTGAGGACCTCCATAAAATTTTTGTTTTTAGTTGTAGAAAGTTGAGATATTTGAGGACTCAAACTTTCATACAACTTGGCAAATTTCATAACAGCATCACAAATTATGTCAACCTTCTGATTTAAAGAAAAGTATTTTCTGTGCGAACACATGCAATCTCTTTTTCCATATCTTGACGAAACTCTTGAAGTTTAAATTTGACATCCTCACGCACCTTTTTAACGTCTTGAATGAACAATACATGACGTTCCTTGGTCACCAGTCGCAATTCTTCAAATCTCCTTCGAATGTGGACTTATGATAATTCAACCTTATCTCATTGTTATGATCACATATATCCACTTTCTCCAAAATACGAGACTCAAAGTCTTTGATCATGCCCGAAACTTTTGAAGTGATCCTGCTTCTAGCAATTTTAACAAACCATCAACTTCTAAACTCGATACATAATTACCTCGTCCAAGATCTACATGTAATTGAAGAATTGAATTCAGTTTTGTATTCAAGATTTTAAACTGCTTCATTCCCATAAACATATGATCTGGGAAATCAGCTTCATCTTCATCAAATTCCAAGTTCTCAAAAGTTCCTCCAAAACTTTCAGATTCATTCTCAGTCTCCATAAAAATAGATTCTTGAATTGGTGAAGTGGTTGTGGGTGGACTAGTGGATTGAGAAGAGAAAAGAGAAGTAATTGGATGTTTGATAATGTTTTCGAAAGTAGGAGAATCTGTGGTGGAAGTAATGAGTATGATAGGTGTAATTTGTGGAGGAAAAGAAATAAAAGTTTCTGAGGTAATAGTCGAAGGTTTACCTTGGTCATCTTTCTTCGAATCATACTCACCCATGATGACATTTGTATCCGTATGAGATACGTTTACAAGAATGTCAGAAGTTCGTGCCTCCTCAGATAATGACTTGGCAACCGAACCTTCGGGTGGTATAACAGCTGTCTGTGAAGGAGTAGAAGTATATTTTTGAAGATTGGCTTCAGGAGTTTCTGGAATTGTTTCATCTTCGTCAGTTGTAGATTCAGAAGAGATGATCATTTTGCTTTTCTTCTTCTTCTTTGAAATATGTTTAGCCATATCAGCAGTCCTTCGTTTCTTTGATGATGGAGAAACAGGCGCTGGAATTTCACGAAATAGAACTCCTTAATGAGTAACTTGTGGCTTTCGTACGACATTTGTGAGTGGATATCTGCTCTTGTGCTTTGACTTCATGTTGATTCTTCGAAAAACACCGGTCTTTGAAGGAATAATTCCTTTTTGAGTTTCTGAACCAACATGCTTAGTTAAGAGTGTGTCAACAACTGAAACTTCCTGTATTATTGGCTCTGCATCAGTAACTGGTGTTTTCTTTGGATTCTTCGTAGATTTAGACTCCTGGACTGGTTTATCAGAAGAACCAGTTTTAGTCTTCTTCATACATTTTGACTTTATCTCCTCTCTTGCCAATAGAATCCTAGTCTCAACAGTTGTATCGATTGTTTGCAAATATGTCACTAAGATTATATTAGTTGGATCAACACGTTTGAGCATTGCATCAAGAATACGAGCTACAACATGAAACTCCTCAGCATCATCAGTTGCATCCTTCGGACAACTATATACATGAAAAACAACTTTTTCTTCATCATTTGGTACCATAATCCCCTCCTTCTCGTAAAAATACTGCAAAATCAAGCTCCAATATCTTACACACGAAATGCCATGAAGAGCATTCGTGTTTTCGATACTCTTCAGAAATTCTTTCCACAATTGAGTAGAATAATCCACTTGAAGATCATAATAAAGCCTTGCAACCATGGAATAAATCTCCATTCGACCCTTATCAAGACCAACTGTTCTTCCAGTCAAACACCTCAAGAAAATACCAAATAAGAAATTTCAAACACTAGGAAGACCAAACTTCTTGAAGTCACTAATCTTTGATAATTAAGGTTGACGTCCCATTTCATTAAACACATGTACGATTTATGGAAAGGTAAAACTGACATACGGTGGGGAATTAGGGATTTCCTAAATTTGATAGAAAAGATTCTTGGATAGTCTGACCTTTTTATCATTAATGAAATTGAAAGTAACTGCATCAAAAGCTTTTGAATATGTAGCAGTTGATCCAGCTTGAGAAAGCCATGAAAGTGGAACAGAAAAAGAATTGAACATAGCTTTTGACAGAATAGAACCCTTCAAAGCAACGATTAGCATCTTGAGTTCTTCAGGGTATTGAGAAACATTAACCTCCACTTGATAATTCGTACCCTGAATCTTCATAATCGGTAAAGAAGTAACATCATTAGTGGTGTGAGAAAGAGTTGCATCAGGATTAGCAGCAGTCGCCATTGTTAAGGTTTGAAAGCTTGATGTTTATCAGAGAGTATTTGGGAATTATTGAGTTTGAAAGCGTAAACTGATAATGAACCCTTGAATCCCCTTTTATATGTAACCCTTGATTTTGAAATAAAAGCGGGATGTGAATTTAATGAAATCTAACGTGGCACCGAGAAAACCGTGTCATGATGATGATAAAGTAAGCATGCGTGATAAAGTAACTGTCACGTTACCTCAAAACCCGGACAGAATACAAAACGTCCCCTCAAACAGGCTGGTTTTTTGGCCCCAATGGAATAGTAACTGTCGGAACCCTTCATATGAAAGTAAGGCTCTTTTACTTTTGGGTGTCAAAGTAAAGTCATTTGCAAGATGTTTGAAATCATCAGCCTGAGTTGGTATTACTCAAAACCTCAAGGATTTTGTGTGTGTAGTGTTTCAAAGAATGTAGATGAGAAGCAATAATAATAAAAAAAAATTAAAATTCAGTGATGTCAAAAATTCAATTTGACACGAAGGCAATTAAAACTCTGGGCAAAGATTGCTTCTTTAATCATCAAGAGAGATGATCAACAGCTTGTGTATGTTCCCATGAATTACAATTGAATACTTGGAAAGAAGTATCGAAGGGCTTCTTTTAAAAGGCTTTCAAGGTGGCTTAATGAATTTCGTTACATGTCAACCTAAAATAAGGTGAGTAAGTGTAACAGAAATTACTTGTTTGACCAGTGTAGTCAGTGACAAGTTTGCTTTGGAAAACTTTTAAATGACATTGAATTTCGAATAAAACTCACATTAAAATCATATTCAAGAAAAAATTATGTACTGGATCCTGTTGGGTAACAAACATCGTGGCTTTTGAATGTTTGATCAAGACCACTCATCAGAAATGAATATGATTTGGAGTTTCGAATGTAGGTACATAAACAAATGTTCCGTTAAAACCTGGAACATAGTTCCCCATCAATTCCTTAAATGTTGAGAGAGTTGGGTTTCACATTCATCACGGTCTCATGATGTCTGATCATAAACACAGAGTTGTGATATGTCTAGGTTTCGATTGGTTTAATCAGATACCTCTTGGACATATGTCTTCGTGTGTGATTGTGTAAGAAATTAGAGATGAAAAAGATTGGTATAAGACACAAAATGTACCTCTGTTATTTTGGACCAAATAGTAAACTCTTAACTCATGTGAGAAGAGTCAGGTAGCTCAGAAGACTAATGTGAATACAAGCCTGATTGGGAAGAAATCTTTGTATGAAAATTTTCGTTAAGGCTTTCGAACATACACATTGAGTCTATAGAGGCTTTGGTCAACATGCTGCAACATGCTTCTAGGGACATCTTAATTAGTTCAAAGTGTTTGAAAAAATATCTGACCCTAGAACTGCAAGCATTGCACCATGTGATTCAACATGAAAATCTGCAACAAAATACGAAAAAGAAAAGAGAAACAATATATTTTTGTTATTTTTAGATTTTTGAAAAAAAAAAACTTTTTGGAATTTTTGATTTTAAAAAAATAAAATAAGAAACAGAAATGTACTTGTTGCAAACATACAAAATTTAGACAACCCTTGAAAAAAAATGACAAATGTACGAATTCGAAGGATTTACAGAGTTGACAATGAACAGTAACCTTTGAATACTGAATGACATTCCTTTTTCTTTGATATCGTGTTTCTGAACCATTCCTTTTTAACCATCATTCTCCTTTTTCGCATGGAACAAAATTTCCATTGATGATTCCAAATTCTTTCAAAATTCTTACAAAAGAATTTTCATCTAACGGTTTTGTGAAAATATCAGCTAACTGATTTGTTGTTTTCACAAAATGCACTTAAATAATTCCATCTTCCACATGATCCTTGATGAAATGATAACGAAGAGCTATATGTTTTAGTCTTTGAATGTTTAACAGGATTATGACAAATTCTTATGGCACTTTGAGAATCACAATATAATGGAATCTTTTTCATATTAATTGCATAATCCCGCAATTGACTTTGGGTCCAAATTATTTTTGATGTACAGGCAGCAACAGCAACATATTCTGCTTCAGCAGTTGAAATTGATACACATGTTTGCTTTTTCGACTGCCAACTCACCAATTTACCATCAAGCAATTGACAACCATCACTTGTGCTTTTTCTATCAAAACTACAACCTCCCAAGTCTGCATCCGAATAAGCTAGAACAAAGAACCCAGTTTTTGAAGGATACCACAATCCTAATGAAATTGTTCCCCTAAGATAATGAAATATATTCTTCACAGCAGTGAGATGTGATTCTCGTGGATTTGACTGATACCTAGCACAATTACATATAGAAAACATGATATCAGGTTGACTAGCAGTAAGATAAAGTAATGAACCTATCATGCTGTAAAGAGTTAGGTCAACTGCAGGTTTATCTAATGAAGGTGTCAGCTTTATGCCAGTTGCCATGGCAACTCGTGATTTCATGTTATTCGTCAATCCAAACTTCTCTAGCAAATTCGTCGTATATTTTTCTTGATTGATAAAAATACCTTCTCTGTTTTAACGAATATTCAACCTAATAAAATTATTGATTTTCCCATCATGCTCATTTCAAACTTGCTTTTCATCAAATTTTCGAATTCACTAGACAAGGTAGGGTCAGTTGAGCCAAAAATTATATCATCAACATAAATTTGAACAATCATTAGATGATTCCCAACTTTCTTTTGAAATAATGTGGGATCAACTTATCCTTCTTTAAATTTAGATTGTTTTAAAAACGAAGTAAGTGTTGCATACCATGCTCATGGTGCTTGTTTTAAACCATAAACTGCCTTATCTAAGATATAAACATGATCAGGATGTTCTTCGTTAATAAAACCTAGAGGTTGTTCTACATAAACAGTTTCTTCAAGCTCTCCATTTAAAAATACACACTTCACATCCATTTGAAAAGCATCAAAGTCTTTGTGAGCTGCATAAGCTAGAAATATACAAACAGCCTCGAGTCTTGCAACAAGGGCAAAAGTTTCTTCGTAATCTATTCCTTCTTATTGAGAATAACATTTAACAACAAGTTTGGCTTTGTCTCAAACCATGTTTCCATCTTTGTCAATTTTATTTTTGAAAATCCATTTTAACCCAACTTTCGAAACATCATTTGGCTTAGAAATTAATCTCCAAATCTTGTTTCGTTTAAATTCAGATAATTCAGATTACATTGTAAAAACCCAATATGACTGTTCCATTGCAATCTTAATTGTCTTTGGTTCAATTTTAGAGATAAAAACATTGAACATGCAAAATTCTTGATGAGTATTTAATACCTCATTCTTTGCATGAATTTGAACTCTTGTTAGGACTCCTCTTGTGGATTACCAATTATTTGCACCTTCGGATGATCTTTTGTCCATTTTTCCATTGGTGGATAAGTTGGATCAAATTCCAAATGTGCATCTTCGTATAAATCATCATGTTCTGATCCTGCAATTGAACATGCATCATTAAAGTCATGAAAATCTTCATTTTGTTCAAAATGCTCCCCCTCAACATTAGCATCCTCTCTCTCTCCCATTATCCCCCTCGAAAGAATGCTCCCCTTCATCAAGAGTGTTCGAATCCAAGTGCTCCTCTTCTACTGGACTAATATCCATACTTTTGATCATTGCTTGAGGATGTGATGTTGAATTCTCATTGAATTTCGTTGATTCAGAGATATGATTATCATTGCATTAATTTCAGCATCAACAGCATGATCTAAAATTCCAAAAATCAAATCATAATCAATATCCAATGGTTGTGAAGTTTCAGATTCTTCAGGAATTTCTTGTAAAATAGTATGATTTGTAAAATGATTTTCAGTTAGTTTGATATAATAATCATCAAATGTAAGATTAAATGCTTCTTCCACTTTTCGTGTTTTTTTGTTCAACACACGATAGGCGACTGAATTATGCAAATATCCAAGGAAAATTCCTTCATCAGCTTTTGGTTGAAACTTCAAAAGGTTGTCCTTAAGATTCATAATAAAGCACCTGCATCCGAAAACATGGAAAAATTTCACATTAGGTTTTCGATTATTTATTATTTCATATGGAGTGATATTAAAAC